TGGGACTGACGATCTGTTGGAGTGTGAGCAGGGTAATATTTAGTGAAGGGATTCAGGGAAACCGGTTATTTTCATATAGTCGGACTTGAGTCCTGGAAATGGGAAGTGACAATGCCTGCACTTTAAAGGAGGGGTTTGGGATATTGGCAGTTTGGAGGGATATGTTGTGTATCTTTATATGTTTATGCTTCTAGACTGTTGTATTCTGAGCACCTCTGCAAAAACAGTGATAATGTGCGAGTGTGGTGAAAGTGTTGAATGATGATGAAAGTATTTTCTTTTTGGGGATTTTCTTTCTTTTTTGGGTCACCCTGCCTCGGTGGGAGACGGCCGACTTGTTGAAAAAAAAAAAAAAAAAAAAAGCATACAGTCAGCTTTTATATCAAGCTCCTTTACTTAGTGTGATTTTTTATTAATGCAATTGAAAATGATCATCTAATTTCCAAAATCAAATAGTACATACATATTATGGAGGACTTTTCACTCTTCGATTTTGGAAATTTTGGATATACTTTTTCAGTTGCAAATACAAAAAATGGCACTATATATAGAAGTTTTATATAAGAGCTAAGTTTAGTATATGCTAAAAAACTTGAAAAAAAAAAAAAAAAAAAAAAATAGTTGTGACTGGTAGCCAAGACTGTAACTGTAGATGTATGTGAAGAAGTTTTGTTTTTTAGACTATTTCTAAAAGCCAACTGGCATACCTGTGACTGGTTTCAAGGGTTCTTCTACCCTACCCGATAAGGTATTCCAGGCTGGAATATTACTATGTACTGACAGCCCCCTTAAAGGCAGGCAAGACTGCTCAGCTGGAAAACATACAGAGAACTTTTTGCTGATTGTATTAACTCAATCAGGCATCTGAACTACTGGGAATGCTTGAAGTACCTTCAACTGTATTCTTTGGAATGCAGCCAAGAGAGGTACAAAATAATTTACACTTGGAAAATCCTGGAAGGACTTGTCCCAAATCCAAGCACTAAAGTCACATTGTATGACAATAAGAGACTTAGCAGATGGTGCAAAATACCTCCACTAAAAAGAAGGACCCTTAAGAGCTTAGTGGTTTGTTATGATTATAATAATAAAAAGCAGGAGCACGACAAGTACACTAAGACAGAACTCGATGCGTCAGAGATCCCCAACTCTTCACTGCTCTTTCTCCATGCATAAAAAATTGCAATCTGCAAGAAGAAAATGGACAAGTTCCTTACATTTGTGCTAGACCAGCAGGACTGATCAGGCCTTGTCTTCAGGAGCCCGGTTTTGACGACCCACGGAGCAGCCGAAATTTACACCCCGGCCTCAGCCTCGGGCAGGTTGTTGGTGTGGGCCAGCAGATCCAATAGAATAAACTTTGTTTATCAGGTTAGGAAAAATTTAAAGTTTAACTTAAGTTTTACAGGTAAAGATAACATTTTGTTTATAAAGCTTAAATAGACACTATTTTTAATTAAAAAACAAAAATTATTATTTGTAAATATTGAAAGGGAAGAATACAATAAAAAAAGTGACTGAAAATGTGAAAAACCCCCAGTAAAAATGGAAATAAAACCGAGCGCTTTCATGTGTATGCCATAAAAGAGCACGGGTTTTTTTTATTTCATATTTTCCTGCGATATTTTTTCAGACTGAAAAGAGCATTTTTAAATAAAAAAATTCAAATTTTTAAAGTACTTTTTATTATTAATAAATTCAAGGAAAGCACTAAACCCTGCAAGCATCAACTGTGTTGAAAAACGGGAGGGCACGAGGTTTTATACTTGATTGGGGAGAGGGGGTAGCTCAAATTCCCTGGATCAAGAGCTCTCCCCCAGCAACAAGGTTTTATACTCCCTAGAAGGGAAAAATACGTACAAAATTTGCAATAGAAAAAAATCTTTCCAATCCCAGCTGCTACCCCCCGTGGTGACTGAGCAACACGCTGCTACCACCCGTGGTGCTGAGGCAACCAGCTGCTACCCCCCGTGGTTTGATGGACAACACAGTGTACCACCCGTGGTGACGGGCAACACAGCTGTAACCATGTGGTGACTGAGGCAACACAGCTGCTCCACCTGTGGGATGAGACAACACAGCTGCTCCACCCGTGGGACTGAGAAAAACACAGCTGTACCCCCCGTGTGATGAGGAAAAACACAGTGCTCCCCCCCGTAGTGACTGAGGCAAACACGCTGTTTTTCCCCTGGGTGACGGGAGGCAACACGGTGTCCCACCCGTGGTGACTGAGGCCAACCAGCTGTACCCCCCATGGTGACGAGGAACAACCCTGCTACCACCCGTAGTGATGAGGCAACCGCTGCTTCCCCCTGGGTGCTGAGGAACACAGTGCTACCCCCGGGGTGTGAGACAACAAGTGTACCACCCGTGGTGCTGAGGCAAACAGTGTACCCTGAGGTGACTAAGGAAACACAGCTGTCCCACCTGAGGTGTTTAAAGGGCAACAAGCTGCTACCATTTGGTGACGAGAAAATACAGTTGTCCCACCTTAGGTGTGGGGGAAAACACAGTACTACCACCTGAGGTGACTAAAACAACACAGCGGTACCCATAGGTGTTTGAGACAACCGTTGCTATACCTGGGGTGGCTTGGACAAACGCGCTACACCTGGGTGATGGGGCCCCAACACAGCTGCTACCCCTGAGGTGACTGAGGCATCGCAGCGCTACTCCTAGGTGCTAAACAACACATCTAATTCAGAAAAGGGGAAATCTTCCCTTTTAAATATTTTTAAATTAATTTTTAAAGTGACTTTGGCATCAATATCTGTACAAATGGTTTTTAAGATGTGCTCTGATAAGACTGCGATGAATCCATTGCACAGCTTTAGGAAAAAAGAGAGGGAAGGCATGACACACAGATTTACATTGATTGCTTTCGAGGGTTTTTGTGACCCTTTTTTACAGTAAATTTTCTATACGTTAATTTTGCTTTATTATCACCCCAAACGGTATCACTTGTCTTAACAAAAATCTGTAAATTCCATCCCAAACTGGCTTATTTAAATTTGTAGAAAGAATTTTGCACAAATAAAAACAGGGCTGGGGGTGGAATCTAATGAACATACTTTTCTTTAAATCCCATGAGGTTTTTAATTCATGTGGCTTGTGCCCAAACAAAAAAAAATGGAAAAACCTGGCAAAAAGAAGTGAGGGTGTACTGTAAGGTGAAAACTACAGCCATAGCTCAAGGAGTAAAATCTTGGGTGAACATCACCCAACTACTGCCGAGATGCACATAAATCAAGTAGCACTCTGGCTAGATAAAACGAATTGCCTTTCTGGGGTATGCATCAAAAATTTAAGTCATTGCCCAGCAAAAAAGTTCAAAAATAGAAAAGGATCGGGAATAGAGGGGGGAGGGGTGGGATAAAAAAAATTTTTGGGGAGATGTGTTCAAGGGTTTAATGTGTGAGCTTCTCTCCAGGGCAAAAAAAATGCGGGGGGTTGGTGGGGGGGAAGCAGGCAGAGTAAAACAGGGAAGATTATTTTAGAATTTGGATTTTTTTTTCTTTTTGTTTAAATAAAATAATTTTTTTTGTTATATGACTAGTTAGTGCCCATTGGTATGCTCACATTTCTTGGTAAAAATCAAAAAAAATGTAGTGTTTTACCCTAATTTTTTTATTAATAATTGTGGGTGAAATTTTTTATTCTCTTTCCCTTTTTGTTTTTGACCCCAAATTTATTAATTTTTGATACGATGTCTTTGCTTTATGATGGTCTAACGTGATAATTGACTTCACGTGGTGGATATCAATCAATTTTTACTTAATTTTTTGAAAGGTAAACTTGTATTCATTTATTGACTTTTCAATACTGATATTTAGTTAGTTGCAATAATTATTTGTTTATTTACTTATTCAGTGACAGTAGTTATTTATTTATTTATCGTATAAACAAATTTGACTTACAATATTTTCAACTTATGACGAGTTCTTCGGAACATAACCCCACCATAAGTCAAGCAGCACCTGTATCACCATTTGCATGGTAAGCTCACATTTTTTCACTAAATATTTATCATCAAATGTGGAATTTCCAAAGCCTCAGGATGAATTCCTATGTTAGAGGTGTTTTACTGAATTGTCTTAATTTGTGAAGAACCAGGGAGGGAGTTTTGCATTTTTACACGTCAAATCATCCCATAGACAGTACCCACCACCTGCAACACCACCATCATAATACTGGGTGGTCCTGCATATACAGCACCTATTTTTAGTGTTCCATGTTTTCGTTGGCTTTCAATTGAGCCATTGTTCCACCTGCTGGTGGAACTTGATGAACAATGTCTCAATTTGAAGCCAATGAAAATGTGGAACACCAAAATTAGGTAGTGTATAAGCAGGGCTTCCCTGTATCTTAAGCTTTCAGAAACCACCACAGTCACTACCTTATCTCCCACTACTGGAACATCATACAGTTCTGTAAAAACCACACATGATGAGTCGTTCCCAGATGATCCTCGAAACTGTTTTTACTTCATAAAGTGCTAAACCTATTCGGGTTGTTCTATATAAGGAATGGCAGAGGCTTGATCCTTCATAATCGCCAGCATCATTGCATCATATTTATCTCATTATTAAAGACATAAAAGTAGTCCATAAAAAAGTCAGATGAACATGATATGTGCTTCACCGCTAATTGCGCTCATTTTGGTGATCGTCAGAGAACAGTCCAGTATTTGCACGTGCTCCCCCCAGAAATAATTAATAAATACTGACTTAAATATAACATAATTATATTTTAATAAACAGCAAGTACTATATTCATTTAAGCCTTAGAAAAAATTATTAAACCATAAAAATGTTTTTTTATGCGAATGAGTGTGACTGTATTTGGTATTTAGTGAGAGTCATGTGCACCTATAAAGTCAAAGCTTTTTTCTCAATATCTCATTATTGAAGAGTAAATTTCTTGAATTTATATTAAAAAAAAAAATATGTATAAGAACACTAATAAGTCTACAGTGTTTTATGAGGGAGGAGGAAGCTCACATGAATGTCGGATATCTTCTCCACTGGCGCTAGCAACCCTCGCTGCAGACGCCACTCCGCCGGCTGAAGGGAAGGTAGGTATAATTATTTTTTCACACATTTTTCTTATTTTTTTTTTGTATCAAATGTATTCATTCATTCAAATTTTATGTTATTTATGCATGTGTGGATTGATATTTATTTTGTATAGCCTGGTCAATAATTATTTTTTGAGCTTAATTTTAGAACTTATTTTTATTGGCTATCATATAAACTGATTTTTTTTTTGTGTATGTATATTTTCTACAGAGCAATCATATTTGTCTGGCACAAACTGCTCAAGAAATATGGATATTTTTTAATTTTCTTGGGCTTTGTAATGAAGAATTATAAGAAAGAAGTATTTTTCTCAATTGTTTCTAATCAAATGTAATGATTTTTGTAATATGGTCAATTGCTGTATATTTTTAAACTACAAATTGGTGAAGAAATATAGGATATTTGCTTCAGTTTTCTTGAATTAGTAATGGAGATATAATTTTATCATTTTTGGATCAAAAGCAGTCATGTAAGGCATCAAAATACAGTACTACTCACAATCATGTCTTTTATCAAACTACCCAAGGCAAAAAATTTAACTCAGAATTCTGATACAGTTAAACTTTCTAATATCCGGATGACTTCTGCTCCATTATGTCGGATATTCAATTTACTAACATTTATACAGTATGTGGCATGTTTAAGCCATAACTTTCCAACCTGTACAATTAACAAGGATTGTTTTGCCAAACAAGTCACACTTAGTAGAGGAATACAAGTCTCAAAACCACGGATGAAATAATTCACAACTAAACCACAAATCACAGATGACTTTAGGTGACATTTCAGTTAGCAGAGGACCATTATCATGACACAAACTTGCAGGATATTTTTGTTAAATTAAAATGTTTTAAAAATGTAACCAGAGAGCACTGAAATACAGAGATCAAAGTATAGCAGTAAGTGTGGAGTGGCAGGGTTAATGTGTGGAGTGGCAGGGTTAATGTGTGGAGTGGCAGGGTTAATGTATGGAGTGGCAGGGTTAATGTGTGGAGTGGCAGGGTTAATGTGTGGAGTGGCAGGGTTAATGTATAGAGTGGCAGGGTTAATGTATGGTAGTGGCAGGGTTATGTATGGAGTGGCAGGGTTAATGTGTGGAGTGGCAGAGTTAATGTATGGAGTGGCAGGTTATGTGTGGAGTGGCAGAGTTAATGTATGGAGATGGCATGGTTAATGTATGGAGTGGCAAGGTTAATGTTGGAGTGGCAGGGTTAATGTGTGAGTGGCAGGTTAATGTTGTGGGAGTGCAGGGTTAATGTATGAGAGTGGCAGGGTTAATGTGTGGATGGCAGGAATTAATGTATGGAGTGGCAGGTTAATGTGTGGAGTGGCAGGGTTAATGTGTGGAGTGGCAGGGTTAATGTATGGATGGCAGGGTTTAATGTGTGGAGTGGCAGGGTTAATGTATGGAATGGCAGGGTTAATGTATGGAGTGGCAGGGTTAATGTGTGGAGTGGCAGAGTTAATGTATGGAGTGGCAGGGTTAATGTATAGAGTGGCAGGGTTAATGTATGGAATGGCAGGGTTAATGTATGGAATGGCAGGGTTAATGTGTGGAGTGGCAGAGTTAATGTATGGAGTGGCAGGGTTAATGTATGGAGTGGCAGGGTTAATGTATGGAGTGGCAGGGTTAATGTGTGGATGGCGGAAGGGTTTAATGTGTGGAGTGGCAGGGTTAATGTATGGAGTGGCAGGGTTAATGTGTGGAGTGGCAGGGTTAATGTGTGGAGTGGCAGGGTTAATGTGTGGAGTGGCAGGGTTAATGTGTGGAGTGGCAGGGTTAATGTGTGGAGTGGCAGGGTTAATGTGTGGAGTGGTAGAGTTAAATGACAATGGAGAACCTTAACTTGCATAGTGTACAAAAGAGGTTTGGTAATACACACAGGAAACAGGAACTTTTCATAGAAAAAGATATATAAGTATATGAGGTATGGTGTGAGTAACAGGAGAAGTGTACTATACTAAATAATGGTGGATAAAAGGTTGAACTGAGATGCCAGATCATTTAATACCTTTACAGTCAGAATAAAAGGCAAAACACAAGAAGAATGCTACCAGTGTGTATTAGAGAAGTAAAAGTGAATGAACTAAAGGTGGGAATAATTAGTAAAGGGCATGAGAAACTTAGAAAGATGAGTAAGAGTGAGGAGTGGTGAAGAGAAAGAGTCAGATGTATGGGGTGGGCTCAAGAATGTAATGCTATTCTGCAGTCGAGGTTTATGGTCAAAGAAGAATAGCTGTGGGTTCCAGAAGAAATGACTGAGAGAATGATAAGATCAGAAGGGTGGTGAGGTTTCAAACAAGGTAAAAATTATACTGTATAAGAAAAACAGAGTATATAGAGAGACAATGAGAGGTTAAAAAAGAAAGTGGTGATGAAGTTAAAAAAAAAAAAAAAAAAAAAAAAAAAAAAAAAGCTAAATTGCAGTATGGGTGAGTCCTTGCCAGTAAATTTTACTGAGAATAAGAAACAGTTTCAGAAGGATAAATATGGTAAGAAAGAATGAGTGAGAACAGTGAGAACGAATTAGTAAATGAACTTGGCCATAAGGGGGCGAAGGAGGTTAGTTATTAAGTACAAAAGTAAATGTACTGCAGCAACAGATAAAATACTTTGAGTTGTTATACATGGAGGATGAAAGGGATGCATCAGTTTCATTCATGGGGCAGGAACATGATCTGTGAAGAAGAGAGGAGAGTCAGAGATGGATGAGAGAGTGAAACAGTGGGTAAGATAACAGGGCTAGATCAGTGGGGATGGATGAAGCAGATGGTGACAATTTTGGAATGGTTGATGCATTTAATATATAATTTATATGTATGAAAGATGAGGTCTCAAAGGATTGTGCAGAGAACAGTATAGTTCAATTGCACATTACAAAGAAAAGAGGACACAAAAACGACAAAAATTAGGATTGCAAAGGAACAAGGTAGAATTAGGAAGGGAAGGGGATGTGTAGATCAAGTGGTTACAGTGAAGCACACCTGAACAATGCAACACCCACTTATATAAGGAAACAACAAGTTTTTTTGTATTTGTGGATTTGGGTGGGCAGAAAGAAGCAATATAGCACATGTTGCAAATGTATGAATAGGTAATCAAGTTGCTAAAAAAGTAATAAAAAACTTTTACAAGAGACTGAAAGTTAGGTACCGTATTTCGCAGCTTCTAAGACTTGTTTTAGTTTCAAAGGCTTGGCATTGGACGTAACTGGGAGAGCTACAGCCCACCCCACACCCCAAACTTATAGTTCCCATCACTGACCTTCAGCTTATTGGACGCAGGGTGGTTTTTGGAGACATTTTATGGAAAAAAAAAAAGCGTCTAATAGGCAGCAAAATACGGTATATAAGGAAGATTATTTTCCAGCAAGAGTGGGCATTAGACAAGGTGACATCACTGTGGTTATTTAAATGTATTTGTGGATGAGGTTATAAAAGTAATGAATGCTAGAGTATTGGGAAGAGGTGATGACTTTGAAGCTATGGAATTATGTACAGTATAAAGCAGTTGTGTCTTTGCTGATGACAGTGCTGTTGCAGGAAATTAAAAAAAAATGTTGCAGAGGTTGATGAAGGTTTAACCCGTAAACGGTCCAAACAGATCTACGTTCACATGTGTAGTGCTACAAAAGTAGATCTACTTTTTTTTTTACATATTTTCAAATATAACAAAAAAAAAAAAAGTAGATCAAAGTTTTTTTACACATTTTCAAATGTAAAAAAACAAAAAGATCTACTTTTTTTTACATACTTTTAAATGTTGAAAAAACGTATATATACGTTTGGACCGTTTACGAGTTAAAGGTTGTATAAACAAAGTTGAAAGTGAACACAGAAAAGAGCATGGTGATTATAATAAACATAAATTATTAAAGACTGGACATTAGATATCAGAAACAGAATATATTTAGATGGGTCAATTAAATACAAGATGAGCCGTATAATAAATGAGTGAAAAATGTTGAGGAGTCTGTGGAAAAAGTTTACCAATGGATGCAAAAAAAATTACTTGATCAGAGTTTTGTAGTGCCAACACTTTTGTCAGGGTGTGAGACAGTCTTTGAATGGTGCAGCCGGGAAGATCCCACTGATCAGTGTAAGGTATAAATGTTACGTAGAGAATAAGTAATGAGGAAATTAGGATACAGTTTAGTGGTATGAAAGGTATAATTTGGGTAGTAAAAGAAGGGTTGATGAGATGGTTTAATCATTTCATAAAGCTGGAGCAAGTTATGTCAGCCAAGAGGGTGTAGTTACAGGATAGATATGAAGAGGTACCAAGGACATCCCAGGAAGATGGGGTAGAGGAAGAGAATGAACAAATTTTTTTGAGTTATAGGAGCATAAATATCCAGCACGAATACATGATAGATTGAAGTGAATGGTGACAAGTGTTTTTTGGGGTTTGACATACTGTTGGAGTGTGTTAAAAGTGAGATGAAAGTATTCTGGGGAAACTGGTTGGTCAGACTAGATTTCTGGAGGCAGAACATACATTAGCTGCATTCTGAAGGATGGGTAGAGATACTGCTATTTACTTTAGGGTCATTTGAATTGTGATATCCACCCATTTCTGACAAAACAGCTACTGAATGAATAATGGTGAATGTGTTAACTTCTTTGGGGGCACCTGACTTAATGGGCAATGACTGATGCAGTAATACTCTCCTTCTCTCCCTATCTTGTGTATATGTGAACAGTGTATATGTGTGTGTGTTTCTATGTATGTATATTATAGCACTAACATTTAGATAATCTGTAACATAAACAGTGTAAGAGGGATGCAAAATGAATGTCATTCAAGTTTAATGTTTTACTGCCTTATAAGCATGGGTATTCAGATGTGGTATATATTGTTTTGGCCCTAATTTGATTTTGATAATTTACAGAAACACTATAGATTTTGCCTTTCCCATAACCTTTCACATCACACGTCTCATAATTTGTGGAAGCTGAGGTGCAATTATACCTTCCTAGTACTT